CGGAGCTCCAGACGACCGTCACGGACGGGTACGCTCGTCGCATCATTTTTCGCGATTTTTTTCGTATTGATGTCGAGGGGTAGGTATGAGACCTTTGCGTTCAACAAGGTGCAGCAAGCGCTCGCGCACTTTATTGCGACGGACCTCTCGGCCTTTTACATGGAGGCGTGCAAGGACCGTTTGTACTGCGAAGCGCCGCAGTCCCCGCTCCGCCGGTCGACGCAGACGGTACGGCTTTTTCCAATTTTCGGATTTTTCCAATTTTCGGATTTTCAATTGTCGGATCTTTAACGTGTTTTTGGACGTACGTAGGTGCTGGAAATGGCGCTCCGCACGATCAACACGGCGATCGCGCCTGTGATTTGCCACACGGCCGAAGACATCCGCATGCACCGCCTCGCGCAGTACACCAAGCAACTCATCAACGACGTGCCGGGCAGCGTCTTCCTCGACGGCTGGTTCCAGTCCGAGGTACACACGACGCTGAAATGCGGGAATATCAAGAAACATCGGAAATATCGTGTCCATGACGATAGGCGCAATGGCACAACCCGGCGCTCGCCAAGGACTGGGACATCCTCCGCCAGCTCCGGTTTGAGGTCAACCGCGTCGTCGAAGCCATGCGTGACGCCGGCGACGTCAAGACGACGCTCGAGTGCAACGTGCACATTGGCGCGTCACCCGAGCTCCTCGCGATCCTCGCGCGCGTCGATGGCCGCGTTCTCGAAGACATGATGCTCTGCTCGGGCGTCACGCTGACGCCGCTAACCACGGACGCGTCCCACACGCTTCAAGTCGGCGACTCGTCGCTGCCGTTGCATCTCACTGTGACGCTCGCGAGCGGCCACAAGTGCCCGCGCTGCTGGAAGTACTCGCCGGACGTTGACGCCGCCATGACCACGCTCTGCGAACGCTGCGCCGCCGCGTGCGGCCATGCGACCGTCGACGCGCTGGTCGACGCGCTCACGCCCAACGACGCTTGAGTGCCGGCACGATGGTAGAGAGGATAGAGGACCCCTTTTTGCGTCAAGATTTTGATTTCTGCAGACAATTTGGGCTGCTGCAGGTGGCACGAGGTGGTCGCAGCGGTCGAGGTACATCGGCCAGCGCGCGTCGCTAATACCTGGCGTACAAGTTGCGGACCAATTCGCGGGACAAGGTGCTATCTCTCACGCGGAGCACAAGGTTGGAGACAGTGCGCTGCTCGGGTCTTGAAGTAGACTTTGTATGGCGTTGGTGCAGCTGAGCGACGCTTCGCATCCACCGCCTGCCCATCGGCGGTTGCGATTTTTCAAACGTACAAGCCGCGGTGTGTTTTGCATCCACTTCTTGCTGCCATTCTTCATGGGCTTTTGGACCATCTATGTGTGGGCAGCGGCCGTCAACGATAACCGGCTCCACTATACGCTGCCGCCGTACGTCTAGCACACGAGTCCCCGAGTTCCAATCGGTTCACGACGCTTTTCTTGTACCTCAACGATGTGGCGGGGGCGGCGTTGTCGCCGTACCCAGCACGCTCTGGTCATCGACACGTGCGACCTTGAACGAATGCAACAAGGGGCAAAGCGTGGCCGCGAGAAGCTTGAGCGCCGCGTTCTTTGACGTTTTGACGCCCGACATGGAGATTGACCGGCTAAGCGAGCACGGGGTGCCCCCCAATGGGGCATGGCATCGACGGGGGCGCGAATGCATGCTTGTGGACCGACGACGCCAACGAGGGCACGCTCTTTGGGGAGTGCTCGCGCAATTACGCTATTTCATACGACTGCCTTGAACACGACCCGACGATGGGAAGTGCTCCCGAGCGTCCATGTACAATATATTTGTTTTATGCACCTTTTTCTGGTACATGGTCGTACACGCGCTGTGTTTTCATGTCCACAAGAATCGTGTGTCGGTGCCAGCTCAAATGCCCACTACGTCGTCGAGGCGGTGGCAGCAATAAAGGCCGCGATGGCCGCAACGCCGCGCGCCGCCATCTCGTTGAAAAAGAAGCCCAACACGGGGGTGATGTGGGGGGCGAGGGGCTCGACTTCAACCGTGAGCGGCACGTTTTGGCGCCGCAAGATCTCTTCGAGGCGCTTGCAGTCGTCGCTGAACGCTTCCTTCCCGCCGTAATGCAGTAGCATCGGACACATGCCGGTAAAGTCGCCATGAATCGGCGACACGAGCGGATCCTGCAGCAGTGACGCCGGCGCGTCCGTCGGGAGGTACGCATCCACGTGGAGGCGCAGGTGGTGGGCGTGGATGACGTCGACGGCTTTGTACTTGGCATACGACGGCGCCAGCGCAGTGACATCGGCGTTGCACCACGGCGACACAAGCACCGCGCCGGCGGGCGATGGAAGCGGTGTCGCTACCATACACTGTTTTAGACACTGTAATAGACACTGTAAACAATGTCGAGTCACTACCTCGGGCACGCAGCGTTTGCAAAAGGGCCAAGGCGAGGTTGCCGCCGGCCGAGTCGCCAAACAAAAGACATGTCGCGATGGAAAGGTCGTCACAAGGTACTCGTACGCGGCTTGGGCTTCGTGGATTTGGGTTGGAAACTATCGACAAGATGTGTGCATCATGCCATCAACATGCAACGTTTAGAGCGCGCACCCGCGCCTCGGGCGCCAGCGTGTACTCGAGCGCAAGCACACGCAGATCGATGCCATGGGTTGTAGCCAGCGCCGCGCGCAACTCGGCGAGGCCAGAGAGGTATGTCCGTGCGTCGCAGGTGGTGTAGCCGCCACCTGCAATGGCCCATGGGTTAGGCCGAGAACGCAAGAGACAAGCACACCGTGCATGTAGAGCAGGATCGGGTCGGTGCGGCTGGCATCTGGGGCGTCGCCGAGCCAGAGGCCTTGAAAGCCAGGACCAGAGACGTCGGCGATGCGGTCTCCGATGCCGAGGTTGGCCACCTTGGACGAGAGAACCGCCATGCGCCGCGCCGCCATGCGCTCGTTCTCGAGGATGAGGTTGAGGTACTGCACCGAGAGCGCGGTGCGGAGCGACCAGCCGTCGACGGGCGGTGTGTAGCGGCCGAGGCAGTACTGAACCAGAGTCGACAGCGCCAGGCCGAGAAAGCGCAGTCCGAGTCGCAGCGGCGTCTGCGGCGGCATCATTGGCAGCGACGCACGCCACTCCATTGTCGTCGGTCGAATGCAAATCGCGAAATGATCACCACCTGGTTCCTGACCACCAAAGTCTGAGTCTGGCAGTCGAGTCAACCCACGTGCTTCGACCGTAGCTGGCCACTGTTCCGCAGTCAATGTCCCGCAGTAGTAAGGTAGCTCATGCAATGAGATGTTTAACAGGCGTCCCTGGTATCGGCAGCGTTCTTGTGGCTTGTACTCGCCCAGCTCTGCCTTGCTAATGACTAGCGGACCTCCCTCTTGTCTCCGTTGATCAGTGATTTGTTTCGAACGGCGTCAGAAGATAAGCGTTTGCTTCACTGTTTCAAACACGTTTAAAACGGGTTTCAAACAGTATAGACTGTTGCATGACGTGGCATTCTGAAAATCCTCTGTGGCCGAATCCACTTGTTTATGAACGTGTTTCGCGTTATCTTCGTTGTTACAAAGAGTTGACATACGTAGAGACTAGCAATCTCCTTCTTCATTCACTCGCCAGGCCGTGGAAGATCTGGATGCCGAATCCACTTCCACACGAAACTCATCGACCGGAACGTCCTCCTCCGTGCCGTCTACATCATCCACGTCATGATCTACGTCTACCCCGGTGACAGGTGCAATATGCACCGCTCGAGACGCAATGTGGGGGTACATTCGAGTGCACATTGCAAAGGTTCACATACCGCCGCGAGATGCCGTCGCTGTTGTACATGGCGTAGTCCTCGACACCTGCCGACACGAAGGCACCAGCTGAGCGAGTGGCCGCAACGCGTCGCGCAGCCCGTTGCTTTGGCCAGCAGTGGCGTTGTGGAGAAGGCTGAGAATAAACATATTGCTGGGTCCCTTTGGTGTTAAGTCATGGACGCCGTTGGCCACGTCGTCCATAAAGACAGCTTGACGCATGACATACATACTACATCGACACGCGTCGACGTCGTCACAAATACGGTTCACGAGGGAGTCGACATTGACGGCAAAAGTCGAGGATGCGGACGATGATGATCCAGGATGACAAAGCTCCAGAAGGACGATTGTGATTGGCTATGGCAGCGCTGACACGTCATCGCCACGGCTGGAGGGACTAGGAAACGCAGGTGCGCACGATGGATTCGTCTGCATGCCAAGATAACAAATCCAGAAAGGCTAGTTCGTACACGATCGCTTTGGACATATCATTGGCAACCATCATCATCCGTTGCGGAGGTCATGGGATCGATCCTCGTAATCTGCCGTGAAGCAAATTCCGAGCCGAGACGTGCGCACCCATGACAAAGGCAAGCTCCTGTAGCATCACCTGGCACACCAACGCCGTACAGGTAAATATGTACGACCCAGAAGACAGTTCAAGCTGACGGCGCAATAGACCAGTACTACTCGTGCAAGCTCGGCATGATTACCGCGCACAGCAGTTTCTTGCCGGTACAAAGTATTGGACGGACCTCGTAAATTGATTACAACGCTGCTGACAACGCTGGGTCCATCGCCTTCGCGATCAGTGCTTTGCCGCGCTTCTGGCCACGAGACTCGCGTTACACGGGCCATCATCCGCCGACTCGGACTGGCCCGCGGCATGATATTGGCCGTAAATCCAATCTTTTTCATCTCGTTTTCCACCAATCCGCAGCATTCGATTCGAACTCAATGGTACGTTAGTGTACTTTGAAAAAATCCTATCCATCCATACACCAACCGCACCATTCGAAACCGCACCAACGATGCCAACGATGACGTCACGCGTCCTTTACTGAATTCCAGCTGGCAGAGCTTCTTGATGTTGCCGTGTTGCTCACGCCATCGGGTATGGTTGCCGAACAGTTTGCCGAAGGTCATTTTGGGGGCTTGGCATTTTTGACGTTTGTTCATTTTTTGTTTTGTGCTGCATGTGGCAACCGATTGTCGTTGGCGTCCTCCTCGCACTCGTCTTCGTCGGCGCTGTCGCCGTCGGGCTCAAGCAGCGCCACTCGCCGCCCCCCGCGCGGTTTCAATCCCGGTCCCCGACAGCGCTCTTGTGTTTTCGGTCGCTTTGTCTCGCTTTTTACCTCGTCGTGCTCGTTGCGCAGTGGATTAAATCTGGCTTTGCCGCCTACAACTTTTACACGTTCTGGAACTTCAACCTTCAGGCCGTCTACTTTGCATGGACGCTGCTCGCCTGCGTCGTCGGGTCGGTCAACAGCCGCGGGCTCAACACCCTTTTTGATGTCGTCTTTGCCAACAGCTTTGTCGTCGCGGCCGTCTTTTGGGGCGTGCTCTACTCGCCCAAATACGGGGTCACGTGGCTCCAAGTGGCCCAACACGGCGTCAATTCGGTGCTGCTCCTCCTTGAATTTGCACTCAACGATTTCTCCGTGCAGCCGCGCAGCTTGATATATGCGTCGTTTCTGCTGCCTGACGTCTTTGCTGCATTTGCGTGGGTCGCGCGCGAATGCTGGCTGGACTATTGGGTCTATTCGTTTCTCAATGTCTACAAGGGTGCCTCCCCGCTGTGGTACGTGGGCATGCTTCTCGGCCACTGCGTCTTTTTTGGCCTGGCGATCGGTCTCTCCAAGCTCAAGCAGAGTGTTCGGCGCGATGCCACGGAGCTTACATCTCCCTTGGTGCGCGAGTCGATCAGTGTTCAAAAAGTCTAGTTGTTGTTGAAGCGGGTCGTCTATTACAATAACAATACGGTAGATAAAACTATGCTCGATAAAATGGTCGGACTTTCTTCATTGTGTACACTGGGTTAAGGAACTTGCAACACGTCCAGTTAAAAAAGATAAAAATTGAAAGTGAGTGAAGATTAAAGTCGAAAGAAATGTGCGAAGCTGTAGCGTGGCGATGTGGAATCGACTTGCGTCCGGCGGTTGTCGGACTCAGTGTTGCGCTCGTACGTTTGGGTCGTGGGCGACTGCACCCAATTTGTTGCATTTTTCTTTGGCCGTCATAGTATCTCCCAGTTTTCCTCTCGGATGGCTCCGGGCTTGTAGCCAGCAGCGAGACACCCGAGTATTTTGACGGTAGCACACAATGGTGGTTCCCCATGCGATCCTTAATGGTTGGATCCGAATGGCAGAGGTATCATGCTTGACTGTACATGTATTACCAGAGCACCGAAATGGCGAAACGTTGCGTTGTGGTCAGGTGATCACTGTCTGGTCACAACAACCACACACAACAACAATTGCTGCTGGTCATGCCTTCCAGCGACATCAATCTGGCCTCAACGCATTTCTCGCCGCTTCATTTTCATTGTACGACGCAGTCTCTTGGCGACCAAAGTACGCCAGACTGCAATAAATTAGGCGCAAGAAAACACTTCTGCACGCGATAGTTTTCGAACTGTACAACCCACCGCACAATCCAACTATGTAGGTGGGTCGCAGGTTTCCGATGGTTGGTGGTTAGTTGTCCGCGTCGCTGCTGGTGGTGGGGGTTGATCCTTCGCCATTCTTTTTTTCCCAGTCACGAGATAATGTGGCAACCCGTTGTCGTCGGCATCTTTCTGGCGCTCGTCCTTCTTGGCGCTGTCCTCCTCTTGCTCCGCCAGCGAGCGTCCCCCGCACCACCGTGCGTGTGCTATCCAACTCGGTATCCCAAGGTCCTGCTCGGTGTGCGGTGCATGAGCCTTGTCTTTTACACCGCCGTCATCATCGCGCAGTTTATCGAAGCGGGCATGGTCGCCGAGTATGTCTACTACACGTTCTGGAACTTCAACCTCCAAGCCATTTACTTTGGCTGGGCAATCGTCGCGTCGATCGTCGGGTCAGTCGACAGCCACCGCCGCAACACCCTCTTTGACGTGATCTTTGCCAACAGCTTTCTCATTGCGGGCGTCTTCTGGGGTGTGCTCTACTCGCCGATTTACTCGGTCACGTGGCTGCACATGTCCCAGCACGGCATCAATTCGGTGCTTCTTGTGCTCGAATTTGGACTCAACGAGTTGCGTATTCAGCCGCGCAGCATGGTCTACGCGTCGATGCTGCTGCCCGACGTTTTTGGCGCGTTTGCGTGGGTCGTCCGCGAATGCTGGGTCGATGACTGGGTGTACCCGTTCCTGGACGTCACCAAGGACGTCGCACTGCTCTGGTACATCGGGATGCTCCTCGGCCACTGTGCCTTTTTTGGTCTTGCGATGGGACTATCCAAACTCAAGGCGCATTGGCTCCGACACGCGCCGCCAGTATCCTCGCCGTGGCTAGACGCACCTCTGAACGATGAAGAGAAAGACCAACCACTTCGCCTTGTCTGACCAACTAACTTATATACTAGTATACAAAAATTCTACTCGAGGGCGTGTTACCCACATACGCTAGCATATTTTGGAAGCACGCAAATCGGCAACAACTCATCGCTGGCTGCTTGCTGACTGCCGTGTTCCGAGACGCGACGTCGACGTGTGGACTTTGGCAAACTATCGCGCCAGCACACGCGACCGGTTGGCGTGATGCGAACGGGCGAGCAGCTACTAGTACTCGATTAACGGCAGAGCCGCTTGCGACGCCTCGTAAAACGCGTGGCCGCGCGGCACCGGCGCTGGCGCCGGCAGTGTAAAAATGCGCCACAGTTTGATATCAAACGCGTAGAGCCGACCGCGGTAGCGCAGCGGCAGAATCCCGTTGAGGACCGCGGACGCTTTATCGAGGTAGTAGACGTCCTCGTACTTCCATTTCGAATGCCAGAAAAGGTATCGCGCACCGGCATAGAGAAAGTGCGAGTGGATATCACTGCGCGGGGCTTCCGTGAGCGTCATGCGAACAACGACGTAGACCACAATGTTGCAGGCGACGACGACGCCAATGAGCGTCCAGAGCCGATTCGTGCTGCCAATGTAGATCGTCGCCGAGTTGCAAATGAGCTGAAAGTCGACGTGGGCTGCATAGCATGCATCGGTCGAGAGCGTCGCCGAGTGGGTCACCGGGTACGTGGCACTAAGGATCGCAGCGACGAGCCACACTAGGAGGCTGTTGGGGGTTGCGCAGTACGGTGTATACTCGAGCGTGACGACCATGAGGAGGTCGTTGACAACCGATAGAAGCCACGTGACTTCGCTGGCCGCGAGCCACGTCTTGTACCACGGATTCGACGTGCTCTGAAAAAAGCTGTATCCGCCATCGTACACCAATTCGAGCGTGCCGGTCGAGAGGAGACAGACTGCGGTCAAGCTACGGACAAAGAGGAGCGGGCGGCCGACCCAAACGATGCCGCCGACGCGGTTGAGCACGAGCATGTTGAGCCCCTCGACGTGCCCCCGGCTTGAGAGAATGTAGAGACCAACGACGGTCGCGACGCAGATCATGACAAAGGTCACATACTGGACACACGCGCGGGCGTACGAGGCGACGATGGTCGAGAGTTCCCAGCGCTGTGCCTCGCGCGCCACCAGCGAATGGTAGTCCGACATGATGGAGATCGCGCCCACATCGCCTTGAAATGACACGACCTCGCGCGTTCCCCGGCTCCAGTCATAGAGATAAAACCAAGCAAAATAGTCAAACCGACGATCGCTCGGGTCGAGGAGCTGCGACGTGTACATGGTCAATGGCGCGGAGAGGTTGGCGATGCCCATTTGCATGAGCGAAATGTTGAGCGCTTGGAGGTCCGACCGGGCGTGGGCGAGCAGCGGGGTGTAGGCAGAGTACCCCGAGTTGACGCACGCCGGTAGAAAGGCCATGGTGGCGTTGAGGTACCGCGCACACGCTGTCGGGCTCGTGCTGGACTGCGCACAGATCGCTGCAATGTCCATGCCTGGATGCGAGAGAAGCGATGGGAGGTTGCTCAGCACGGCCGCCAAAACGAGGTATGTGGCCGACATGCCAATGCTGCTAAGGGTGTTGGAGGTCGGGCACGTGCCTCGAGAGAGCAGCGTGCGAGGGCCCGCCGAGATGGGCTGCGGACTGCCGTCGTCACAAAGCAATGGCCCGCCGGTCGAGAAGAAACCGATGTCGGCCCACGCCGCTGGAATCACAAGGTTCGAGTCGATCGTCGAAATGTTGGCAAACAGCTTTTGGCAGTGCGGCTCTTGTCGGAGCCGTCGTCGCACGTACGTTTTCAGCTGCTGCACCGCGGCCTTGAGGCTCATTGGCGCGGGGACATAGTAGACATCGACCGCGCCAAACGGTCCGAGCACGGCATCTTGCACGAGCGTCATGGCGCGGGTCAGCGGGGATGTCAGCGCACCGGCAGCCGTCAGCACAGAGGTTGCCGAAGTGTTTACGAACGCAAAGTTGGCGCTCGATCGTAGTAGACTCTGCCCTGCGATTCCCAATGTCGCATTGGTCGCGACGGCCATCAAGTCGTTGGCCAGCCCCCAGTACATCTTGTACGACGTGGCGTGCGTGGATTGGAACGAGCCGTTGGTCGCTTGGAGCGTCAGCGGGTAGACTCCGCCGTACGCGTTGCTGATGCTATACGTGTTGATCAAACCAAGTGTCTTGAAGGTTTGCCACTGCAGCGTATACGACGTAATGCGAGCCGCTGTCCAGTGTGCGACTTCGGCAGAAATCGGAACAAGGGCGTCGGTTTGCACCGAGGCGAGCCAGCGCTGGCCAGCCATCGTCGTTGCAAGCTCGTTGCCAAAGGCGATCTCAAAGGCCTCGCCGTACCCACAAGAGAGCCAGGCGCTCCACGCGACGTTGCGCAAGACCGCCTCGAGGTAGACAGCGCCGTTGGACGCCATGGCGTCGCAGCGTGACGCGCGCGACGCGGTTGCGGCCACACTCCAAGTTTTTGCAAAGTCAACATAGCAGTAGGCAGTAAAGATCCAGGGAACATGGCACGCACTCGTTCGACGAAGATCGCGGATCGCAGCCGTGGTGCTGTTGAGTAGCGTGTACTGCACGATCGACGGGTGGAGACGCGACGAGATGACAACGCCGGACGAGTCGTTGTACGCACCTGGCAGTGCGAGGCCCGCATCGTCCAAATCAAAGCCCTGCTGGGTTGACAGCGGCATGTAGAGCGTAAACTCGTTGAGGTAATTCGCGATGAACGCATGGGCCCCGGTCATATTGAAGGTCGCCCATGAGAGATCGTTGGCCAAGTTGACGCGGGACACTTCAAAGTACGAGACGCTGCCAATGATGGCCACAATGATATAGACAAATCCGAGGGCAGCAAAGACCGGGTTGTTTTCATACTGCCACGTGCGGGCCGTGGGGACCATGGGAACCGTTGGAACGACTGGTTTGGCTGCCTCCAGCGCGTCGACGTGGGGTGCCGCCAGCGGTGTCACGTGGTGGTTGTCGCCGTCACGGACGAGCAGCCACAGCCGCAAATCAAAGAGGTAGTCTTGGCCACGGAAGCGAAGCGGCAGCAAGCCGCAAAGGAGGCACGAGACGGCATCGAGCGCCCACACGGTCGTGTCGGACGAGGCCACAAAGGCGTGTGCAACGGACGAGACCAGCAAGTGGTGCTGGCCTTGTCCCCGCGGCGCTGTCGCTGGCGCCACGCGCATCCACTGTGCCACTCGACCAAGAACGAAGGCAAGGACGATGGCCACGAGTTGGGAAGCGACGAGCCAGAGCACGCGAACGAGGCGGCCAATCTCGACCACACCGCTTTGGCACAAGAGCGCGTCGTCCATGTCGGTGGCGCTGCACGTGCGGGCAATCTGCATGTGCGGTCTCATCGGATAGATCGACTCGAGCACAAAAACGAAAGCCACAAGAGGTATGTGGCCACCTGTGCGAGGCGCGGCGGCGACGACGACGCCACCAAGAGGCAAATGTCCGTGACGACGTAGCTTATCCAGCACGCTTCGCCCGCAAAGACAAACTTGTCAAACATCGAGCGCTGGACGATCGCAAAAGATGTGGTGCCGTTATTCGAGGTGTGAAGTGCGATCGGCGACGTGCTCAAAAGGAGCGCGGCCGCAAACCCGCGCAGAAGCAGAAGCGGTCGGCCGACCCACACGGCTCCAACAAACCGGTTGAAATACAAGAGGTTGGCCGCGACGAGCTGGCCGCGCAGCGAGAGACCGTAGAGAATCGAGAGTAGGCCGACACCGATAAGAACGGCCGACGTGTAGTTGACCAAGTAGAATAAGATTTCATTGGCGTTGCTGAGGTAGCGTGTGCCGACACCCGTCGAGTAGCTCACGGGCGTGTACGCGGCCGAAATGAGGACCATGGTCGCGGCGTCGCCTTGGAACGAAACCACCTCGCGCTTGCCTTCGACCCAGTCGCAGAGCATGAGCCAGCCGTAAAAGGTCCACGCGCCGTCGGCGAGGACCGGGTGCAACAGCAGTTGAAAGTCGCTGCGGTTGGTCAACGGTGTTGCAAACTGCATGAGCGATACATTGAGTGCTACGATCGCCTCTGTAACGTTGGCGAGCTCGGGCGCCATATTGGGTGGTGGCGACGACGCCAGAAGCAACCCGAACGACTGCAAAGTGGCCGGACAGCGGCTGTCGCTCTGGAGCGCGCAGATATCGCGCACGTTCCATGCTGCCATGGCGGCACTGGCAAAGAGGAGAGAGAAGCGGCTGGTGGGGACGCGAAGAGGCGCCTGCGTGACGCAGCCGTCGTCGGTGCTAAAACTCTCTTGCACAAACGGGAGTGGACCACCGTACAAGCATAAAATGTTGCCGCCATAAAAGGCGTACACGTCGCTTCGCCACGCAGGCGGGAACGGCGCCAAGGTCGCAACGGGGAGCGCCCGAAACGCGTCGCCTGGCACGGCGGTCATGTAGGCTTGCATCTTGCGGTAGTAGGTTTCAAGCACGCTCGGTACCGGCACAAGCAGCGCGTCAATCGAGAGAAAAGGCCCGATGTACGCGCGGGCCAGCGCCGTTGGGCCCACGTAGTCCGTGCCATCCTCGTTGTTCATGTAGCCGCCGTAGACTTCAAACTCGTCACGGAGTCCGAAAAAGTTGGTGGCGCTGCGCACGAGGCTTTGGTTGGTCAGCTGCATGATCCACCAGTCGTTCCCGAGGAAAAAGTACAGGTTGCTCGACGTCCAATGACCACTGGTGTGTGGTACGCTCTTGACCGTGATCGTCTCGTCGATACCAAGCGCGTTTCGGAGGATCAAGGTCTCGGCAATCCCTGTAATGCCAGCGTTTTGCCACACGTAGACAAACTCGGTCAGTGGCACGCGACGCCAGAAGGCGACTTCTTGGTCCACCGACGTCGTTGGCAGCGCGTTCGAGACAGCGTCGAGCCAGCGTGAACCACGTGGCGACACGAGAATCGCTGCGAGGATTGCGACGTAAAATTCATTGCCGGGGGTGCCAAACTTGCGCAGAAAGGCCGGGACGTTGGTGTTGCGAAGGTAGGCTTCGTAGTAGACGGCGGCATTATAGACGTAGCGTTGCGCACAACGTTCTTGGCGTCGCAGCGTGTGGGCGACTTCCCATTGTTTCTCAAAGTCGACCCAGCACAACTGCGCGTTTGGGTTCTTGATCGCACTCATCGACATGTTGCGCACGTTGGGCACGGCGTACTCGAGGCTCGTGCACTTGGTGAGGGCGAGCGACCGCGCATAGGTGGTGTACACGAGCGTCGACGAGATCGGCGACGTGTACGCCTTGTCCATGCTCATCGCGAGGAGGTCGATGTCGCCCGCGTCCGTTGTCGCCAAGACGGCGTTGGAGACGTCGATGAGGTAGGCTTCGTACCCGCTGAGGTTGTAGTGGGCCCAGAAAAGGTCGTTGGCGAAACTCGGGTTGAGTTGCTGCAGAAACCACACGCCGCAAAAGAGCGAGAGAAGAATGTAGCTGTAGCCAAAGAGTACATCGATGCGCGCCCAGAGACGTCTCGGTGGCAGCGACGACGACGGCGCGAATGGCCCCACGGCGCGGGTTGTCGGTAGCACCGAGGTCATGCTGGTGAAACCGGTTGTCAATGAAACCCACGCCGTTTGAATGTTGAAACCATAAGTGGACTTTTCATACAAAACGCGAGTTGACGTCGATTTGTTGGAGCCTCGGAGCCTCTTGTGTCGCCTGGTGTACAACGAGGACCAATCATTGAGCTCTTGTTGCAAGGAACAACCGGATTATGTCGATCCAAGATGTGCTGCCGACGGCCATAGTAGATGGATCCAAGCACACGACGACCTTCGTTCTAAGGCAAGCAAGACGGTGTGATGGTCCATCGATGTGTGATTGATGCAGCGCAATCGTCAAGATGGGGCTAGATACCTGGGCAAGTTACGCTCTCAATACCTGGACGTCCAAGCTAGGAGGGATTTCCCAAATCCTTTCATAAAAACGTAGCATGATCAATGGCATAGCCCGCTCCTTTGTCTTTATTATTGCGTTTGCGTCTCGCTGGCTCACACATTTAGCTCTGGCTCATGCCAAGCGCGCCGCGCCGTGGGAGGAGCAAGTGGCAGGTAGGTGTGGTATTTGTGGCGTTTTGCCATATTTAAGAGCGTAAAAATGGCGTTTCTGTAGTTTTTCGCAGCCCGAGAGACGCCCTGGGATTGGTCCAAAATGATTTGCGTCGTTCGAAATTTCAACCAGGCGATTTCGCCGCCTGTCCGTCTCAGTCAGGGCATCTCGGGACGTTGGCATGGCGTTCCTCTCTCTGAGCGGCCTATGGATCTTCGATTGCGAGATGTGACGTACTAAGCTGAGGTAGTGCGGCCATGCATCGTGCCAGATCGTGTACGCCCGTCATCTTTGATACCGGTACGAGCAACCTCGAAAGCTCAACAAGTAGCTTGTTCCGACAGCTTGCAGCTGCCCATCCCGTGTCTTGCCCAGAGCTCGCAGGATTCTTCAATCGCTCACGATGCTACTCTGGGTCCAACTGCTCGTCGGGCTCTATGTGGCGCTCGCCATCGCCGCGTCGGCAGTGAGCGTGCGCCAACTCTATCGTCGCCCACGCCCGGACGCCATCTTCCAGTTCCGATCGACGCTGGCGTATGCGTGCCAGCTCCTTTTGCGCGCCTTTGCGGCCGCCCGCTTCATCCTCGTCGTCGTCGCACAGCCGCTCGTCTACGAGTACGCCACGTGGAGCTTTGGCATTCAAGGCATCTACTTTGTGTGTGCCACGATCTATCAAGTCGCGCACCACTGGGCGCGGTACGAGCCCGTGCTCTTCCACCGCGACAGCTACGTGCTCAATACGCTCTTGGACATGAGCTGTGCGAGTGTGGTGCCAGCACTGCTCGCGTTCGCCACGTCTTCCGGCCGATTGGACGGGCAGAACGTGGCGTTGCATGGTGCTTCCTTCGTCGTGTACCTGCTCGAGTTTATCGGCAACCACTTTGTGGTCCAGCGCCAAAGCCTCGGGCTCACGCTCCTGCTGCCAAGCGTCTACGTCGTCGTGCTCTGGCTGCACCAAGAGTCGACACCATCAAGATGGCTCGACCTGTCGGTGCCCGAGGCTGCCATTGGCCATGCGGGTCTCTTTCTGAGCCATGGGGTCGCTTTTGGCCTCTTCTACGGCATCTCGCTGCTCAAAGAGACATACTTGCATGGTCAGTGCCCGGTCGTGGTCAACCAAGGCCCGCCAAGAGCGCGGAAGCTCAGTTTTGTTTGATTCCAAACGTGTTGTGAAAATATGAGTTGGCCTTTTGATCGTACTCGATTTCCATAAGGCGCCGGTACGTACCATCGGGAAATATCCGTGGACGTTGTGCATTCGATAACGTTAACTTCAATTACTCCTTGAAAATTGCGTCGCCCAGTCCCTTCTCGTCCTTGCCGTCGTCTAGCGGAGCCTTCTCTACAACCCCAAGATGCTTTGGAACAGCTATCTTCAGCACGGCGGCAACACCGAACTCTTTTGTATCGAGCTCTGGTCGACGCGCGCCATGCTTCAGACGCACTCGATTGATCTTTCCGACGCTTTACTCCTGATTTGCCTCGATCAGCTTCGACACGTGGCTAAACCACAAGTGGTTAGTCTATCCCTTTCTGGACGTGAACGCTCCGAGTGCACCGCTGTGGTACGCTGGTATCATGGGCGGCCTAGAGTGGGGTCGCTGCCGCGTCAAGCTCCTTGCATGGTCGTCATACCCGCGAACGGCCCCTAATGCATCAAGACAGACACTATGGTCTAATGAAAAGGACTTGGTGATCATGGTGTTGACTGCAGTGTTAAATTTGCCAGCACTGCATATCTGGCACTCGGCTCGTCACGCTGTGGTGCCATTGCTTGATGCGTCGCTCAACGCTCGCAGAGGCAACCCTTGGGGTGCTACCCTTTGTTCCTCGCACAGTCCCGAGTCACGGCCACGAGCGCTCCTCGCTTGCTGCACCGGCCACGCCGCACGAGCGCATTAGGAAGTCTACCATATCTTTATAATTGCATGTAATATACTAGTATGTAACAGGTGAGCCGTCCGGCTGCCACGTCACCAGATCTCCTCCGAACGTGTGTCGCTGCGCCTTGTCGCCGTGTCCACACTATAGTGCGTTCACGGAGGAATTCCGCAGACGTAGCAGCAGAGGCCAGAGGCACCCGCGACCGCGTGCCGACTTCTATGCCACAGCGCGACTGCCAGCGAGCGAGCTATTCGCACCGAAGGCGTGTGGCCTTTTCTAGTGGAGCTGCTGAGCAGAGTAGCCACTTTCGAGATCCAAGCGTCCGAGAGTAGCTACGCCAGCCATGGCGACAGCAGCGGCGATTCGAATTTGATTTTCGATGGTTTCAGTGCCCGAGGCAAGATACTTCCTCAACAACCTTGGATCATCCTCGCTCGCCACTTTGAAATTTGCACCGATCCGATCCATGCTCTGGGTGCAGGTCGTCATTGGCGCCATCTTGGCCCTCGCGCTTCTCGCCTCGGTGCGGTCGATGCACCACCTGCGCCACCGCCCGCACCGCATCATGAGCTTCAAGTACCCTACGCCGTGGGCCTACTATGTGCATTTGGGCTTCCGCGTCGCCGTGGTCGGCCTCTATATCGCCGTGCTCGTCGTCGAGACGTGGCACCTCGGGACAAAGACCATCGCGTACTACACGGTGTGGAACTTTCTTCTTCAGGGTATCTACTATCTCTGGGCCATCAAGTACCAGCTCTCGACGTACGGGTCACGCAACGGACCGACCACGATTTCGCGCAAAGGCGCCGCGCTCAACGGTCTTTTCGACATTTGCTTTGCCAATTCGCTGCTGGTCATTCTCGTCTACTGGGGACTTCTCTACAACCCCAACATGCGCTGGTACAGCTACATCCAGCACGGTGGCAACACGCTCCTCTTCTTGATCGAGTTTGCGCTCAACGGCTTCCTCACGCAGCGCACCAGCGTCGTCTTTATCGCACTTTTTCCAGCAATGTATGCCATCTTCATCTGGATCAGCAACGCGACGTGGCTGAACGGGTGGTGGCCCTACCGCTTTCTCACCATGAGCTCGCCCGTCGCGCCGCTCTGGTACATTGCCGTCTTTGTCGGTCACTTTGTCATGTATGGCGCCACGTATGGCATCTCGCTGCTCAAGGCCAAGCTGCTCCCGACATGCTGCCCGGTCTTGGAGAAGAACGCTCTTCCGATCGTGGCCACGGCCCAAGGTTTGACGATCGTCTAGTTTTCCACGGGTGGCATATCTTTTTGCGCATTTAACGCCTCTTTGTGATTGGCTCGCGCGTTTTTAGAAGCGCCAATCAAAGCGCAGGGTGACATGATAAGATCGGAGTGGTGCAATGTCGAGCACGGTTGGCTTTGGACGCTACGTTGGACGTGCAGAAAACAGCTACTATAAGAACTCGTATACAAGATAATATATCGGACTCGTGTGTATATATGTGTGTGCTCCCTGTGCTCAAACTGCCGAGGATGTACCTATCTTTGACTGATAGCGCGTTCCAATCAGCAAGGATGAATCTTATACGTGCCATCACGATGCATCTACATTTTCATTCTGTATATACTTTGCTGGCGTCGGTCTACCATTCAAGCCGCATCCTTTCCACCTGCCACGAAGAGTGCTATCAGTGTACGCTTCAATTTCCGCCTGCAATCAGCGTTTGCGATCACATTTCCTCGGCTATTTGCAGTGCTGATTGCTAATGAGATCTCTAAGCGCTAATAGGACGAGGTCGCTTTCAAATCTACCGGCAGTTGACCGCGTGCATGGTTATAATGGAACCCAAACTAACTTCATTTTTCAAAACGTGTTGTCGCGCTCATGTGGGTCCAGATCGCGATTGCATGCATGGTTGCAGCCTCGTACCTCGGCATGGGCATCGTCTTGCACCGCGCGCATCAACACGACCGTCAAGGGGAAGTTGCAACCTTGACGTTTACCTCCCGTGTGCGCTACTACCTGCAGCTGGCATTTCGCCTTTTGGTTGTGGCGCTCTTTTGCATCATCTTGGTCATTGACGTGCAAGAGTATGGCACGACGGCCTTCTCGTACTATACGATTTGGAATTTTGCACTCCAGACCGTCTACCACGCCCTTGCTGCCGGCTTCCTTCTGAGCCATTGGAATGTCCACGGCGGCGCCACCGTCGTCGTCCAGTCGCGTCCCCTCAACTCGCTCTTTGACATTTGCTTGACCAACAGCCTCCTAGTCGCCGTCGTTTTTTGGACCGAGCTCTACTACCCGACGATGCCCTGGTACAGCTACATCCAGCACGGCGTCAATACGATGCTCTTCGTGCTCGAGCTCTTTCTGGGCGACTTTGACGTGCAGTCGGAAGACTTTCAATACGCAGGCATGTCGCCCACAATCTACACGACATTCATTTGGATCAGCCACGACACGTGGCTGCACGGATGGTGGCCCTACGACTTTCTCTCGATGGACACGTCTACCGCGCCGCTCTGGTATCTCGGCATCTTTCTCGGCCACTTTGTCTTGTTCGGCGCCGCGTACGGTCTCTCGCGAGTGAAAACGCGGTGCTTCCCGACGCTTCAACCCGAGATGACGTCCATTCCAGGCAATAGTGCTCGCCGGACCTCGTACCAGTCGATTGTGTAGTCAAAGTCATGAAAGATTGTGTATAAGGCCGGCAACGAATGTGTCCTACGACCTCTCTCGAAGCGTTCTCGAATGTCCTGACAACAAAGGCGGCGCTGGTACATGTAGAAGAAACGAGACCGCAATGCAATACTTTGATACGGTACGGGCCGATTATGATCGCGGTTGTAGGCAGGTGCGTGACCGGATGCAACTTCAACCATCAGCTGCGTGTTTTGAGTCGGTTGCGTGATTCCAGTATACCTATTATAAAACTGTATAATATGTGTCAATTAAAACGCATTTTGACAAAGGATTGTGTGATTGTGACGACCCACCGACGTTGGCAATACTTCGTCCCATGCCATACAACCAGAAATACCGAATTGTGGCGGCGCTCGTACGTACGAGAGGCGCCAATTCGCACGGAGCTAATGATTACGTCCGCCGTCTACAAGGGTCCCAATACGTGAACCGACGTGCAACATGAGTGTCAAGAAGTGACACGATAGATCCGATGTCGACACCAATGGGAAAGAGAAGAAAGGAAAGACGCCTACGGGGCTCGAACCCCGCTGCTTGTGAAGCAGGAATCCACCGACTGGACACAAGGTGGTCGACTAATAACATGTAAGTGCCACCTGCATCTTGACAATGCGCGACGAAATTTTTTGCACTTGTGCACCTATCATTCGAGTTCTGATGATCTGGTGATCGCGCCCGCATCAGCCAATCAATTTACAACTACCGCCATCCAGACGACCAAGCAGGTATGATCGCGATCGCCTTTTGATGACCCCATGAGTGCACTGCACGGACGCCCGAGGATTCAGCGGCCAATCCACAATCGTCTATCGGGCCATTGTTCAATTCGCCTCGTACCGACTCAAGCAGCAGCATGTGGGTCCAGCTCGTCATCGGATCGATCCTCGCCGCGTCCTTCGCCATCTCGGGTCATGCCATCTACACCCTCGGCGGTGGGTCAGCCGTCCTCGAGGCGTTCCAGTACAAGACGCCGTCGACGTACTACGTCCACGTGGGCTTTCGATTCGCGATGCTTGCGCTGTATGCGGCAGTTTTGATTGCCGAAGCTGAGTACCTCGGGATCAAGATGGTGTCGTTTTACACCGTCTGGAACTTTATTCTCCAGGGTATCTACTACCTCTGGGCCATCAAGTACCAGCTCGCGACGTCTGGATCGCGTGAGAAGCCAATCACTGTCACGCGCGAAGGCGCGCACCTCAACTCGCTCTTCAGCATTTGCTTTGCCAACTCATTGCTGGTCATTGTCGTCTACTGGGGTTTTCTCTACAACCCCAACATGCGCTGGTACAGCTACATCCAGCACGGTGGCAATACGCTGCTCTTTTTGATCGAGTTTGCGCTCAACGGCTTCCTCGTGCAGGGCACGGACGTGATCTACGTTTCGCTCTTTCCCGCCATTTACGCCATCTTCATCTGGATCAGCAACGCGACGTGGCTCAACGGGTGGTGGCCCTACCGCTTTCTTGCGATGGAGACGCCGGTCGCGCCGCTCTGGTACATTGGCATCTTTCTCGGTCACTTTGTCATGTTTGGTCTCGCACTTGCGATTTCGTCGGCGAAAGCCAAGTACTTTCCGTCGCTCTGCCCCGTCGTCCACGCCAACAAGCTCTTTATGAACTCGATCAACTACGACACGATTGCATAAGATATACTTCCTCGTAATCATACCTTTATAGTTGACATTTTCAGATGATTTTTCATCTATCTATCTATCTATCTATCTATCTATCTATATATCTATCTATCTATCTATCTATCTATCTATCTATCTATCTATCTATCTATCTATCTATCTATCTATCTATCTATCTATCTATCTATCTATCTAGCAACGATGCAGCGATGTCGCACCACACACGTGGGTCGTGTCTAAGCGCCATGCGCAAGGCAACAACGATTTTCAAGACAAAAAAGAATATTTAAATACAAAAATTAGGCGTGGCTCGCGACAAGCTCGTCCTTGGCCGACTGGCAGTGGCTGTAGACGACGTCTTCCTTGGTCATGTCCGTGGTTATGTGGCAGCGCTTGGGGAGGTACTTGGCCTTGGCCTTGGCGAGCAAAAGCACGAAGCCAAAGCACGCAATGTGGGCGACAATGACGCCGAGGTACATGACGGGCGCGATCGCCTTGTCTTGGTTCATAAAGGTATACGGCCATTTCTCCAAAAACGTCGCCTTGCAGATCCAAATGACCGTGACGTACAAAACAGGCCAAACGGCCGCGAACGGCGCGTCGGCGCGCACCATAAAGCTATGGTTCAAGCAAAACTCAAGAATGAGGATCGCATTGTTGCCCGCGTGCTCCATGTAGCCGACCCACCACGTCGACGTCTTGTAGATGACGGACCAGTACACGAGCGCAACGAGGAAACTCGTGGAGAAGATGACCGTGAAGAGCGTCGAGAGCCATTGCCGCTCGCGCGTCATGGGCACCAGTGACGACGATCCGACGTGGCACCACTCGGCCACTTGGACCTTGATGGCCCAGAGGAAATAGACCATTTGGAGCGTAAAGTTCCAGACCGTGTACATGGTGAACGCGCGACCTTCTTGGTGCGTGAGCTGGTAGATGAGCGTCGTGATATAGAGCGCCGCAACCACGACGCGAAAGGCAAAGAGGCCTTTAAAGTGCGCGGCCGACGAGTACTGGATCGCGCTCAGCGAGACGAGCGGCCATGTCTTGGCGACACGGTACATGCCGTGGAAGGCGTAGACGGCGCAGAGGAAGACGATGACCGCGATGACGTAGCCTTGCCAGCCCATGAGATCGAGTGCGCGGTACAGGTGCAAATGCAAAGTGAGCGGCTCGAGTGGTTCCCTGGCCGCAGCATCTGTTTTGCGACAGGCCACGGGCGGGAAGAGACACGAGGAAAGGCTACCAAGGGGCGCAACGGTACCTGGACGCGCTGGTCGAAACACTGCCGTGACTGCAACTGTGCTGTCGAATGCGGCTGCCTGGTTGCGGCGCCATTGCCGACGGGACGTGCTTGAACGCGTTTTTTACAGTGTGAGGGTCTGGCAAAGGCGCTGAAAACGGGCGGACCGTTGTCCGCATCACGTTCGCCGATTGTTCCGCAACTGACGTCACTTGCCCGCCCCAAATGACGCGGCGCCCCGTGAGCCATGAACTGCGTGCTACATTGGCTGCGGTAGCCAGGTGTTGGGCACCGCGGGTTCCAGATGTTGCGCCCGTGCAGCATTGCACGCGCGATGTATTGATTGATGGCATGACGCCAGCGACAGGTGTCGCAGACTGCGTCACTGCATTCATTCATAATGGCATTCATTGGTGTGTACATTTTGAGCCACGACACTTGATGCTGGACGCTTTTGAGGCTTGCTAAAAGACTCGATTTTTGGTCCAACGATTGCAATTTGGGAGGGTTTTCCGATCCGTGGGATAGCATGGTGGGATACGCAGTGGGATATCTCCTGGTCGGACCCGATGCCCTTCAACGATTGCAGTAGCATCCGTCTGATCCCCGTGTCTTTTAACTGGTACGGGACCCAGGATGTCAGTCCATGGCAACAAAAACAACAAAAAAGAAGCGGCTTTCTTTTTTACAATGGCCACTCGTTTCGTTTCGTGCTTGGCATGTAAAGTAATTCAGCCGCACGAGTCGTGTCGCAAGCAGCGAGCGCATTGGACCACTGGTGCTTTGGTGCGTTCAGAGTAGAAGGCTGATTCGGTGCTTGAGTCAAGCACCGAATCAGCCTAGAGATCAAGCAGCTTGACCTCTTGCACACATTCAACGTGGGCGCATGATGATGGCGTCAAACGTTGAAGGCGACCCTCCCATTCTGCAGTCGATAACGTTTCTGACAAAAGTGCGAGGCTCCTTTGGGTCGCTGACTCTATGTGCTGCAGAGCTACAAACCAGTAGACGGACCCCGGGATGAGTCTTCTCGGTTCATCATCGTAGGACACGCCCGTCAACGCAGCAGACATCGATATTCATTTCCAACCCAATGCACTGTACTAGAGCGTAAGGGCATCCACACCGGTTGGTCTTTAGTCCTAAGTCTTTTCCGGATAAGGTCAATTCGTACGGATATCTATTTGCACTCAACTCTTACGGACTTTGAATAAAACTTTTGCTCGCACCGGTTGGTCTTTCGTGGTTTTT